TTGTTTTGTTTGTGGTACTGGGGATGAAACCCAGGGCTTTTATACTGAACTACACCCCTAGCCTTTTTTTTATTCTTTTGAGACAGGATCTCACTAGGGCGCTAAATTGTCTACGCTGGACTCAAACTTGTGATCCTCCTGCTTCACCCTCCCAGGGTGCTGGGATTACTGCCACCATGCCAGGTTCAAGGTGACCTGTTTGAACCAAGGGATTTACACTCTAGGGAGAACGTTACCTTTCTGAGACTCAAGATCTACAATGTAGAATAACAGTAGTGTAGGATTATTATGGAGATTAAATAAGCTGAGTTGCTTAGAAAGTATAAACGTTTAAACAAGTGTTGGAGGTAGCAGTTAATGACATTCACTTCTGGTTTAATTTTGGCAAGAAAGGTGACCAGCTGTGGTCAGCTCTGCACTGACCATTGGAAACATTGGACATGCTAGAGATGAGAGGGGATTCTCCCATGTTTCAGGCACCCATGGACTCCCCAGTCCATAATAATAGAATACAAAAATAAACTTGGAGCTCAGAGGAATGCATCTGGCAACCCTCTGACCACTCTTTGGAGAAAGAATATAAAGCCCCTGATGAGAAACCCCTGGCTAGTCACGCGCTGAGCACAGAGAAGGAGAAAATGGTCCCAAAGAGATCTGTGACCTTCCTCACCTAGTCTTGTTTACTGATGTTCTGGCAAAATGCTTGGGGGTGAGTTGGGTGGACCAAGGATGCCGCAGCTTGTCATCTAAGGAGACTGGGAGAGGCTGGGCCGTGATTCCGGTTTGATGGGTCCCCACCCTGCACGAGGCATGTATGCACACGCATGAATCACAAGCCCCTCTTGTGCAGAGCTGGTCAGCTAGTTCTTACAACCCAACTCTTGGCTTTTATGCTGTATGGTCCCAACTTCTTCAAAGAGTACCGCTGTCATCAAGCCACCTGGATGAAATGACTTATTCATCATAACAAGCTAAGGCTTGAGACTCATTCTTGACTACGCCACTGTGAGTCCTTCAAACGAGACGTAGTCTTCTGTGTTGTCTTCTTTGCTCCTTTTAGGATGCTGCTTCTCCTTCCATCTTCACTCCTTTTTCTCTTTAGGGATCCTTTTTATCGCTCTTCTTCCCCTACTTCCTCAATTTCCTTCTTCCCTTTCTCAAATACACCTCCATCTCCGGCTTCAGATCCAGCCAGCACCTTCCTCTGTGTTCTCCATTCCACAGGCACCTGCCACCAGGAGCCGCATCATGCCAGGTGTCCTGAGCCCAAGCTCAGGGAGGATCATGTGAGGAGGGAGCACGGACAGCTTGCCAGCTGCTGGCCAGCAGAGGAGGGAGTCGCTCCTTCCACCGGGGTGACAAAGGCTGTGGGCTTACAGACTCCTTCACTCCACCACTAACCCCTTCTTTGCCTCATCCAACATAATCAAGTTCTCCTCCTACCACCCCTGCCACCCCCATTCCTCCCTGCGCTGCTCCACGGTTCTTTGTACCCCTAGCTGGTGCCGACATGCCCTAGATAGAAAGCGCCGTGCAGGCGTGGTTTCGGACAGGCACAGGACTTCTTGTCAAGGGTGGGGACAGGCGGTCAGGAAACAGCACTCAGCACTCTCTGCTGCCTCCCAGCCCTGTGCCGCTGCCCCTCCATTCTAGGCCCTTTTGTGTATCCCCGCTATCCAGCGGAGCGTCAGTGTTGGGAGGGGAGTTTGTCCTGTCTCCTTTATTCTTTAGAACCCCACCCACCATTTCTTCTAATCCAAATCTCATTTCGAAATCTCCTGCCCAAGGGGTTTCCCAACCCTTCCCAGCTTTGCATCAACCTGCTGATTACAGCACTCCTAGGTGAGGAATAGAGACATTAGGTGGGACCTGGCCTGGCACCATGCCCCGGAGACACTCCTGTGCCTGCAACAGTCATCCGACTGGTGGCATCTGGACAAACAAACCTATTCCCCGCCCTGTCTTCCACGGAGGAAAAAGCCAAGCAGGCTCCAGCTGAGCAGAGGACCAGCTGAATGGCACATAACGTGACTGTACTCTGCCCCACCTGCATGAGGGGACCTCTCCAGGCAGCCCACGGCATCCTCGTCCCACACAGTATCTTCCTGGGAGCCAGGCCAGCCCTTCTCAGGGAGCTGTTCCACAGGAATGTCTTGTAGTTCCCTACCTCTGGCTTAATGGGGTGGACTCTGGTGACAGGAACTTTGCCCCAGAGCAGCCTCCAGAGCAAACATGGCAACCACGGTGAACTAGGTCAGTCTTTCACGTGGTCCACCAAAGCCAGGGGCACAGTTCTCCAGATGACACTGAAGGCAGGGACAGGGCTAGAATGTTGACCGAGGTCCTTTCGTCATGTTCTAGCCAGCAAACCTTCTGCCTCGATTTTTATTTTAAAAATCCATTCAAAGCCTCAAGTCTGCATCTAATTTCCAGGGAGCCAACTGCCTCATGCAAATGAGCAGAACGGAATACTGACATGAAGTCAGAAACTCCAGAGCCCTTGCTCTTCTCGTAGAAGTGCAAGCTGCGGGATGCAGCCAAGCCTTTCTCTCTGCCTCCTACACACTGAGGACGGAAAACACCTGATACCACAGCAGGCTCTTGTTCTTGGCACCTGATGTCACACTTGCTTCCCTTTGGCTCAGCCCAAAGTCCAACTGACTGGCTGCAATCACCACAGAGGAGCAGAGCTCTCTCCTCCCTACCCCCTTGGGCACACATGTGCATGTGCACGCGCGTGCGTGCAAACACACACACACACACACACACACACACACACGGGAGCTTGCATGATCTTGCAAGAGCCCAACTTTGCAGGGGGAAGGAGAAAGGCTGATACCTGCCTGTGGCCCCAGAATGCCACACGGTGGATGGTAGGGAGGAAGGACCACAGGAAAGGGTGAGGACGAGGCAGGCTCCTCAGCTTTCGGGGCCAGCCCTAGGTGGCACCAAGCTTCCCAGAATTGTTGGTTGTTGACTTTGCCAACATAGTTTTAAAATCCCAGCTGGCTCAAACAACAACCTTAACGGCACAAACACGCATGAAGAGCCCTGACGTCGAGGGAAAATTCTGGTGGCAGAAACACCAAGGGTGACCCGCACCCACGAAGCTTGGTGTCCCTTCCCTTCCCGGGGCCCAGCCCACCGCGCGTTTGCTGTGGCTCAGTTCTGTCATTGCAGTTGTCTTTTTTTCTAAGAACACTTTTGGCAACCAAATATTCTATGCCCTTTCTGTTGGTTTAGTTAAGTAGCATAATTAAGTTTCTCCTCCCAGGCTCCAGACCATTTTCACAATCTCTCCCAGTTTTTGCTGCTGCCCTGTCCTTGCTCAAAACTGCTAGGCTCCCCTCGACAGATTTAATGAGGTCCCCCAGCCCTGACATCTGGGCTGACTCCAGAGTCCCCTTCTGTTCATCCCTCTTTCCTGATACTGTCTCCAGGAGATCCCTTTGTCCTTGAGGCTCTTCTGTCCCCTCATGGGGACAGTGTTTCCTCTCTGGGGCACACAGCTAAAACTGCCAGGGGTACTTTTTACCACCCACAAGCAACAGGCGTTTCAGGGTGAAGGAGACGTCTGACATCCCTAAGCATCACAGGCTTAGTGAAGCGCCATTACCCAAGCACAGCTGCTGCGGAAAGGGCTGCCGGCCCACAGCTGCCCTCTGCTCACACTTCTGCCTGCAGCGATCAGCTATCATCGCCTGAAAAGCACAATGACATCTAGGTTACAAGGTTTGAGGCTGCCTTGATGTTCCCGGATTCCTGGCCCTCTAACAACTGGGCTTTCTTGAGCAAGAGCTCGCTGGGAAGGTGGGGCTTCCCTGCCCCGTCACTCTGACGCCTCTCTGTACGGAGGGAGCATCTTAACCATTTCCCCACCGCCTCCTCTTTGAAAACACCTCATAAAAGTGCATCAGAGGAAACAGTCTTTTCATCCCACCTATTATTAGATCCTGGAGCAGAGAGGTGGAAATAGGCAGTCAGCCTGGAGATGACAAGGAGACCCAAGTGGCTGGACTGGTGTTTAGCCTGTTTCTGGAGATGAAGATGGTTGATGCTGAGCTCAGGAATGATCAACACCAACCAAAAGGACCATGTGGGACTCTGTCAGGACCGTTCCTTCTTCAGTCTCGGGCACCACCCCGAGCCAGCAGACGGGAACTTGAGACAGTGGGGATATATGAGCAAAAGCAAGTACAATAGTGAACTGGGTTACTCTTTCTTGAGGCAGCTCAGAGGACTTTATGATCATTATCTCATCCACCTTAACAACATTCAAGGAGGGAAGAAAAGGAGGAAAAGGTGAAGCTTTCTTTTTGTCAAATCGAAAATGAAAGAGCGTGGTGGTGCACACCTGTAATCTCACCCCTTTGGGAGGGTGAGGCAGGAGGATCATAAATTGAAAGCCAATCTGGCAAATTTGTGAGACTATGTCTCAAAATTAAAAAAATAAAAATAAAAAGAGCTCAGGATGTGGTAGAGTGCCTTTGGGTTCAATCCCCAGTACCACTGGGGGGAATAAAAGAGGGAGGGACACAAAGCTTTTATTTGAACTTGTCACTGTTCACCTATAAGATCAGTAAAGAAGCACAAATGAACTCAAAGCCCTTTCCTGGCCTCGTGCCAGAGCAAATCAGGGAAACTATATATATATATATA